CGCTTCCTCTCCACTTCTGACCTTATTCTAAATTCATATCGCCCCACAGACTTTGATACACGCACGCAATCTTTTTCATGCAATGACTTCTATCTATGGTCCTCTTCTCTTCATTTAGATTTCCACTAGTCAGTTCTAGACCACTTTCCAGGTCTCCTTTCTCCTGCTTCATATGTACCACTTCCTAACTCCCCACACTGGTGCATTGATAGAGCCGACTAGCGTACTTTCACTTCACTCTCTGTTATTCATATCCCTCCATCCTCCCTCTCATCCATTTCAGAAATGATAGTGTTTCACAACTACAGTCCTAAGAGCTGCCCATACAGCTATTCCTTGAAGCTGAAGACCCTATACCTCCAAATGTGTTCCATGGTGGAATTCTGATTGTACTAAAGCACTTCGCTTACAACGTGCACTTCGCTTATAACGAGGTACCCCAAATCAACTATCAGCCCTTATCGCCTTTAAAAGAGCATCTGCCTGTCTTCGTCGTACAATCCGGAATAGTAAAACAAATAGCTGGCAAAATTATGTTTCCTCAATTACACCCTCTACATCTCAAATGTTTGGCGCCGGATCCATAAATTATCAGGCAAACATCCCCCCCATCCAGCCACCGTCCTCCATATTCGAGATACCCTCATCTCTGATCCTCTCCAAGTCGCTAATTAACTGGGTGATTATTTCAGCCAGGTCAGTAGTGGTTCTCACCTTTCTCCACACTTCTCTTCTATTAAGACCATCAGGGAACGTAACCCCCATTATCTTCACCCTGTCCTCCACTGAGTCCTATAATGCTCCTTTTTCTTCCTCTGAACTCAATACTGGCCTACAATCGTGCAGCAACACTCATGAAGGCCCTGATAGTATACACTACCGTGTAAAGGGTTATTGAAGGGAAACCTCTAAACATTGGTGACAGGGAAGTAGTAAAAGCTTAGTGGCTAAAAACTCTTTTATTGATAGAGCTAGCACACAGAATAAACACAAGGAATGAGGGTCTTGGGTTATGGGGCTGGTCACTTGGGGTCACCGGAGAACCCAGCCCAGCGGGCAGGTTGTGACCTCTTGACCTCGCCTGTCACACTCTGTCTGACCGGTCGAAACGCGGCCCTTAAGTATCCGAGACGCTAGCTTGGGGGGGCGAGGAGAACTGCCCATCCGCTGGGGCACGCCGCATTGGGTAGCCAGGGCGTGGTGCCACGTGGTCACTGTAAGCCTCCACGTGGGGGCCACGCGGGCATATAATACCGTTATAACACAGTATATACTGTATGCTCTGGCAAATCCCATCTTCCTCCTTTTCCTTCCTATTAACAATTTACAACCACATATGGACATTAGGAAATTTTCCTTCTCATTGGTGAGAAGCTCTTATCCTGCCCTTCCTGAAACCCAATAAATCGGGTAACCTCCCTCAAGACAATCGCTCTATCGCACTAACTAGCTGCTTGTACAAACTACTAGAGCGAATGGTTCATTTCCGCTTAACGTGGAATCTTGAATTTCACAATCTCTCTCTTTCCCAATTTGGTTTTCGCCTTGCTCATTTTGAGACCTGTATTACATCTGCATTTGCACGCCATGAATCCATACAAGCTATATTTTTTGACCTAGAAAAAGCATATGATACGACATGGCGGTACCATATTCTCCAACAATTGTCCTCTCTAGGTATATATGGAAACATGGATGTTTTTATAAAGTCTTTCCTCTCCCACCGCACTTTCAGGTCAAAATTGCCTCTGCCACATCATCCTTCTCAAATCGAAGGCGTCCCACAAGGCAGTGTGCTCAGTACCGCTTTATTCCTTCTTGCTATTAATGACATTATCTCAGTTCTTCAAAAAAAACATTAACATTTAGATAAAAAAGTAAATTGAGATTTATGCATATATACATAAACAAACTTTACGAGTAATAGACCTTCAAACTTTTTTGATAATTTTCTATTAATTTTTAATATTTTTCGCTTGCTTACTGGCTACTTTTTACATATGATAAAGCCCAACCATTGCTCTTTCTCTTGCTCCTTATTTCTTTCAGATCGAATCAATAGTTATTGCACAGCATCACAAAATACAATATAATATAGTCATCCTGCGCCGTTTCTATGTGTTCCATGTGACCAAAAAATAACATAATATCACGTCCACGCACTTCTTAACTCATTTTTCTGCTGTCAGGAGTCCTGTGTACCTCCTACTACCCTCCACCTCAGTTGTCCCATTTTCTTTTTTGTAACCCCCCCCCTCCCCCGACCGAAAATGGGAAGTAGGGAAGTATAGGTGGGGGGTACATATAAATATGCTCTTACGTAATCACCCACAAGCAAACAGGGTGTACAATGGGAGGAAGGGAGAGTAAGAAGAAAGCTAATACTAAAACATGGATACTACTCATGGTTCCAAGTCCCCTTTCAGTTGAGATGAGGAAAAATCCTCAACTCAGTTGAAATATCCCTTCGGAGAGTATCATGGGCTACCCACTGGCACGCACGCGCACTCGTACACTCGCGCGCGCACCCATACACTCGCGCGCGCACCCATACACTCGCGCGCGCACCCATACACTCGCGCGCGCACCCATACACTCGCGCGCGCACCCAATACACTCGCGCGCGCACCCAATACACTCGCGCGCGCACCCAATACACTCGCGCGCGCACCCAATACACTCGCGCGCGCACCCAATACACTCGCGCGCGCACCCAATACACTCGCGCGCGCACCCAATACACTCGCGCGCGCACCCAATACACTCGCGCGCGCACCCAATACACTCGCGCGCGCACCCATACACTCGCGCGCGCACCCATACACTCGCGCGAACCATTATCAATAGGTAATGTCAAATACAACTTCACGTTTTTACGCCACTAAGACATAATTCACCTAATTTTTCTTCGCGGGAGTTAGTATTGACAGTAGTATACGAATCTGAAACAGGCCATTACTCATTTTCGACCCCCCCCCCCCCACCCAGGGATGGCTCCCTTAATCTTGAAATGAGTACCAAGTGGAGAGCAAGATTCACATAATATAAAAATGAAAACCTATTAACATTTAGATAAGAAAATATATTGAGATCCATACATATATACATAAACACTCGCATGTTCTAACCTAGATGTGCACAGCCGCCGAAAGAAAGAGTTGCAAATAAATAAAAAATCAGTGTGAAATTTGTATAATATAATGTTTGCTTAATTAGGAGGAAAGAAGCATTACAAATCATTGTTCCTACAGGTGTTTCCCAGAACTTCAGTGGATAATAGAATGGTCAGTAAGTGTATTGAGATTTGTGCATATATGCATATACACTTGCATGTTCTAACCAAGATGTGCACAGTTGCTGAAAGAAATTTGAGTTGCAAAAAAAAAGAAAGAAAAAAAAAAGGTGTGTGAAATTTATATCATCATATTTATAGTGTTTGCTTAATTAGGAGTTGAGACGGAAAGAACCATTATAAATCATTTTTCCTACAGGTGTTTCACAAAAGTTATTAGGTGGATAAAAGAAACAAGGTCAGTAACTTCGTAGTAAGTGGTGCTTGTACTGAGGTTTCTTGCGCATTTGGTTAATCTTGAAATGAGTACCAAGTGGAGAGCAAGACTCATTTAATAAAACATTTGAAAATTTATTCACATATTTAGATTTAAAAATTGTTTATATGGAGATTCGTGCATATATACATACGCACTCGCATGTTCTAACCTAGATGTGCACAGCTGCCGAAAGAAATTTGAGTTGCAAATAAATAGAAATCAATGTGAAATTTGTATCATCATATTTATAATGTTTGCTTAATTAGGAGTCGAAAGGAAAGAAGCATTATAAATCATTGTTCCTACAGGTGTTTCACCGAAGTTAATAGGTGGATAAAGGAAACAAGGTCAGTAACTTCGTAGTAAGTGGTGCTTGTACTGAGGTTTCTTGCGCATTTGGTTAATCTTGAAATGAGTACCAAGTGGAGAGCAAGACTCACATAATAAAAACAAACAAAAAAAGAAAACATCTGAACATCTTTAGAAAAAAAAAATTATATTGAGATTCGTGGATATATACATACGCACTCGCATGTTCTAACCTAGTTGTGCATAGCTGCCGAAAGAAATTTGAGTTGCAAATAAATAGAAATCAATGTGAAATTTCTATCATCATATTTATAATGTTTGCTTAATTAGGAGTTGAAAGGAGAAAAGCATTATAAATCATTGTTCTTACAGGTGTTTCACAGAAGCTATTTGGAGGATAATAAAATGGTCAGTAACTTCGTAGTAAGTGGTGCTTGTACAGAGGTTTCTTGTGCATTTGGTTAATCTTGAAATGAGTACCGATTGGAGAACAAGACTCATTTAATAAAACATTTGAAAATTTATTCACATATTTAGATTTTAAAAATTGTTTATATTGAGATTCGTGGATATATACATACGCACTCGCATGTTCTAACCTAGATGTGTGTAAGGGTTATTAAGGGCAACCTCTATACATTGGTAACAGGGAAGTAAAAGCTTAGTGGCTAGAACTCTTTTATTGATAGAGCTAGCACACGGAGTTGAATCACAAGATGACAAGGTTTGGGTTAAGGCGAGGGCGCCTAGGTCAGACGGCAAGCCCTACCAACGGCAACCTGGCCGCGGTGTTAGGCGTGACCCACCTCGGCACAGAACACTCTCGTCACACTCTGCTTTTGGGGATCCTCTGCAGGCCTTACATATCCGAGCGTTGGCTTGGGGAACGAGGGTAGGTAGCATTCCTCCAAGCCGCGGCTGGGCGGCGTGGGGAACGAGGCTAGGTAGCGTCCAAGCCGGCAGGTAGCTAGCGTGGGCGGCAACGCTGCTGGTACAAGCACCCACGTGGTCTGTATACAGTATATTGTATAATGTGCACAGTTGCCAAAAGAATTTTGAGATGTAAAGTCACCAGATTGTTGTGGGAGCTATGGTGCCTATGAAATGGTGCTTTATTTGTGTCATGCTGATTGTAAATGCTCAAACTGTAATTCCAGTATTTAGTCTTGTTTCAAGTTATTTGATTTTCATTTCCAGGAAACAAAAGAGTATATGGATTGCATATTTGCTGTGGCTCATAGGAGGTTTGGTGGGCCTTCACTTGATCTATCTTCGGCGTGACCGGCAGGTAATTTTGATAATTTCCACACCATTCACCTTTTGCACAAGTTCTCTCCCTGTATCTTGTCCTTTTCCCTGTCTGTCTCTTCCTTTGTCTCTTTCTAAATTTCTCTGTCTATCTTTTCTGTGTCTGTCTTTAGTTCGGTCCGTTGTGTATTCACACCATCAACACAAAAAAAAAAAAAAAAAAATGATCGTCTAGGAATGCTAATAATATATATGGGATAAACACTAGTAGTGATAATAATATATGAGATATTAGATATATCTGTCTCTGCCCACAAACAACAAACGATCAACGAGATATAGGGTCTCCCACCTATTCTCGATGGACACGACACACATCTATCTCGTTATATTAGTCTACCCACTCTCTCTGCTGGCAAGCTAAATACTAAACCTCATATTCCGAATCTATGTGTTAAGAAAACAAAAAGCAAACACAATGAAAACCATATAATATATGAATATGTAGTCCAAAAAATATATGATCTAGAAGGTATAAAAAAAAGATATCGAGTAGGAAGAAAAAAAATCTACTCTATCTGCAGGTATCCAAACAACTATAAGCATATATGGCTAAAACAAAAAAAAAATTATCTCCTCTCCTTCTGTCTCCCCCCCTCTCTCTGTCTCCTCTCTCTCTCTCTCTCTGTCTCCTCTCTCTCTCTCTCTCTGTCTCCTCTCTCTCTCTCTCTCTGTCTCCACTCTCTCTCTCTCTCTCTGTCTCCTCTCTCTCTCTCTCTGTCTCCTCTCTCTCTCTCTCTGTCTCCTCTCTCTCTCTGTCTCTCTCTCTCTGTCTCCTCTCTCTCTTTGTCTCTCTCTCTCTCTGTCTCCTCTCCTTTCTCTCTTTCTCTGTCTCCTCTCCTTTCTCTCTTTCTCTGTCTCCTCTCCTTTCTCTCTTTCTCTGTCTCCTCTCCTTTCTCTCTTTCTCTGTCTCCTCTCCTTTCTCTCTTTCTCTCTCTCCTCCCCTCTCTCTCTCTGTCTCCTCTCTCTCTCTCTCTGTCTCCTCTCTCTCTCTCTCTCTCTCTGTCTCCTCTCTCTCTCTCTCTCTCTCTGTCTCCTCTCTCTCTCTCTCTCTCTCTGTCTCCTCTCTCTCTCTCTCTCTCTGTCTCCTCTCTCTCTCTCTGTCTCCTCTCTCTCTCTCTGTCTCTCTCTCTCTGTCTCCTCTCTCTCTCTCTCTCTCTGTCTCCTCTCTCTCTCTCTCTCTCTCTCTCTCTCTCTCTCTGTCTCTGTCTCCTCTCTCTCTCTCTCTGTCTCCTCTCTCTCTCTCTCTCTCTCTCACTCTCTCTGTCTCCTCTCACTCTCTCTCTCTCTCTGTCTCCTCTCTCACTCTCTCTCTCTCTCTCTGTCTCCTCTCTCTCTCTCTCTGTCTCCTCTCTATCTCTGTCTCCTCTCTATCTCTGTCTCCTCTCTCTCTCTCTCTCTGTCTCCTCTCTCTCTCTCTCTCTGTCTCCTCTCTCTCTCTCTCTCTCTCTCTGTCTCCTCTCTCTCTCTCTCTCTCTCTGTCTCCTCTCTCTCTCTCTCTCTCTCTCTCTCTCTGTCTCCTCTCTCTCTCTCTCTCTCTCTCTCTGTCTCCTCTCTCTCTCTCTCTCTGTCTCCTCTCTCTCTCTCTCTCTCTCTCTCTCTCTCTCTCTCTCTCTCTCTCTCTGTCTCCTCTCTCTCTCTCTCTCTCTCTCTCTCTGTCTCCTCTCTCTCTCTCTCTCTGTCTCCTCTCTCTCTCTCTCTCTCTCTGTCTCCTCTCTCTCTCTCTCTCTCTGTCTCCTCTCTCTCTCTCTCTCTCTCTCTGTCTCCTCTCTCTCTCTCTCTCTCTCTCTCTCTCTCTCTCTCTCTCTCTCTCTCTGTCTCCTCTCTCTCTCTCTGTCTCCTCTCTCTCTCTCTCTCTCTCTGTCTCCTCTCTCTCTCTCTCTGTCTCCTCTCTCTCTCTCTCTCTCTCTCTCTCTCTGTCTCCTCTCTCTCTCTCTGTCTCCTCTCTCTCTCTCTCTGTCTCCTCTCTCTCTCTCTCTGTCTCCTCTCTCTCTCTCTCTCTGTCTCCTCTCTCTCTCTCTCTGTCTCCTCTCTCTCTCTCTCTGTCTCTATCTCTGTCTCCTCTCTCTCTCTCTCTCTCTCTCTCTCTCTCTCTCTCTCTCTCTCTCTGTCTCCTCTCTCTCTCTCTCTCTCTGTCTCCTCTCTCTCTCTCTCTCTCTCTCTCTCTCTCTCTCTCTCTGTCTCCTCTCTCTCTCTCTCTCTCTGTCTCCTCTCTCTCTCTCTCTCTCTCTCTCTCTCTCTCTCTCTCTCTCTCTCTCTGTCTCCTCTCTCTCTCTCTCTCTGTCTCCTCTCTCTCTCTCTCTCTCTCTCTCTCTCTGTCTCCTCTCTCTCTCTCTCTCTCTCTGTCTCCTCTCTCTCTCTCTCTCTCTCTGTCTCCTCTCTCTCTCTCTCTCTCTCTCTCTGTCTCCTCTCTCTCTCTCTCTCTCTCTGTCTCCTCTCTCTCTCTCTCTCTCTCTGTCTCCTCTCTCTCTCTCTCTCTCTCTGTCTCCTCTCTCTCTCTCTCTCTCTGTCTCCTCTCTCTCTCTCTCTCTCTCTCTGTCTCCTCTCTCTCTCTCTCTCTCTCTGTCTCCTCTCTCTCCCTCTCTCTCTCTGTCTCCTCTCTCTCTCTCTCTCTCTGTCTCCTCTCTCTCTCTCTCTCTCTGTCTCCTCTCTCTCTCTCTCTCTGTCTCCTCTCTCTCTCTCTCTCTCTCTCTCTCTCTCTCTCTCTCTCTCTCTGTCTCCTCTCTCTCTCTCTCTGTCTCCTCTCTCTCTCTCTCTCTCTGTCTCCTCTCTCTCTCTCTGTCTCCTCTCTCTCTCTCTCTCTCTGTCTCCTCTCTCTCTCTCTCTGTCTCCTCTCTCTCTCTCTCTGTCTCCTCTCTCTCTCTCTCTGTCTCCTCTCTCTCTCTGTCTCCTCTCTCTCTCTCTCTGTCTCCTCTCTCTCTCTCTCTCTCTGTCTCCTCTCTCTCTCTCTGTCTCCTCTCTCTCTCTCTCTCTCTCTGTCTCCTCTCTCGCTCTCTGTCTCCTCTCTCTCTCTCGCTCTCTGTCTCCCCTCTCTCTCTCTCTGTCTCCTCTCTCTCTCTCTCTCTCTCTCTGTCTCCTCTCTCTCTCTCTGTCTCCTCTCTCTCTCTCTCTGTCTCCTCTCTCTCGCTCTCTCTCTCTGTCTCCTCTCTCTCGCTCTCTCTCTCTGTCTCCCCTCTCTCGCTCTCTCTCTCTGTCTCCCCTCTCTCTCTGTCTCCCCTCTCTCGCTCTCTCTCTCTGTCTCCCCTCTCTCGCTCTCTCTCTCTGTCTCCCCTCTCTCGCTCTCTCTCTCTGTCTCCCCTCTCTCGCTCTGTCTCCCCTCTCTCTCTCTCTCTCTGTTTCCTCTCTCTCTCTTTCTCTGTTTCCTCTCTCTCTCTTTCTCTGTTTCCTCTTTCTCTCTTTCCTCTCTCTTTCTCTGTTTCCTCTCTCTTTCTCTGTTTCCTCTCTCTCTCTCTCTTTCTCTGTTTCCTCTCTCTCTCTCTCTCTCTCTGTTTCCTCTCTCTCTCTCTCTCTGTTTCCTCTCTCTCTCTCTCTCTCTCTGTTTCCTCTCTCTCTCTTTCTCTGTTTCCTCTCTCTCTCTTTCTCTGTTTCCTCTCTCTCTCTCTCTCTGTTTCCTCTCTCTCTCTCTCTCTGTTTCCTCTCTCTCTTTCTGTTTCCTTTCTCTCTCTCTCTGTTTCCTCTCTGTCTCCTCTTTCTCTCTCCCCCCCCCTCAGCCTTCTTCCTCACTATCCCTCCCCCACTCCATATACCCCTCCCTCCCTTTTACTTTTAATTAATTTAAGTATATAGTAGTGAAGTCATAGGTTGTACTTTTTATTATTAGATATATATGGTTTTGTTTTGATTTAGTTCCTCAGATATTCATTGCTCAATTTTTGTTTATTTGTTTATCAGGCATTTATCTGGATGTGCACTTTGGGTGGTTACCTTGGCTTTGGAGCCATTCGAGATTTATTCCGCATTCCGGAATATGTAAGAGATGTCAATAATGCTGAGGGTTACGCTGTTTGTGGGACGGAGGTAGGAGAAGGACCGGTCACTGACCCTCATATGTTTATGAAAAAGCATTTTTGTTTTATATTCATGATGAACACATATTTCAAATACGGTGGGTCAGCATGTTTGATATTAGAGAAATTATATATATATATATATTTTTAAGAATAGGTTTTTATTATATATATATATTTTTTTATTATCTTTCTGCAACGCTAGCCCCCACCCTTCAGTGTTCTGCGTTTTGTTGGAGAGATACTCGTTGGAAACTCTTGGACTTATCTCCTGGCTGCAGCTGTTCCTCAGGAAGATATATGTGGGTTTTCCCTTGTCCCGCTTATACATTTGGCGCCTCTTGGCAGTGCTTTAGGTAATATCCGTTGCATTTAGTCTTTACTATTCTGCTGAAAGAATCCACATCCATGCACTCACACAGACACACACTCACACTCACTCTCACACGCACGTACGTACACACACACACGCTCGCACATGCACACACTCACACCCATGCACACACGCATACGCACACACACACACACACACACGCACACACACACGCACACACACACACGTGCGCGCGCGCATGAACATGCACGTGTTTAATAGCACATTACAAAGTAAAATATTTCTCTTCCCAGCTGTCTGGACGATTGGTAATATTGGACGTGAAAAAGCTGACCTGAAGTGGGCTTTCTTTGGGGCTGGTGTCTTTGTGCCAGTGTCGGTCTTCCACCAGCCCTATAACAACTTTGGGGCAGTTCTGTCGGCTGTGCTCCTTAACTGGAAGGGCAGGGGCTGGAAAAAGAAACCACATACCAGGACACCAATTTGCAAGC